AACAAAAAAAACAAACAAAAAAAACAATAGCCTGAAGCTACAACCTGTGACACTGGTCACTTATATCCACATTCAGCCACCAAAAGCTGCCCTCTGTTTATAAGCTCTGTATTTCTGCTTAAAAACAGGGCTAGAAGCCTTTGAGATGAGACTGTAGTCCCTCCGCCTTCCTCATTTGCTGGCAAATTAATAAACTTCTCTTTCTTTTTCCTCCAACCACTTGTCCTCATTCTTCTTTCTCACTGATTTTGCCTTTCAGTAACAAGGATGCTTGAATTTTGAAGACTTGGGTCTTTGCAGGGCCACCATGGCATGGCCCTGAGGGACATATGGGCCTGCCTTCATCATGACCTGGGGCAAGATCCCCTACAATATGGTCATGAGAATAACAGCAAATGCAAAAGGGAATGTAGTACACACAATATGCCAAGGAAGAAAACTGGAAATAATACGACAACGTATCTGTTTACCTTTCAGATAAATTTAACAGCTATTAACTTTGTGTCCATTTCTTTCTCCAATGTTTTTCTGAAGCATTTTAGCAGTACCTGCAGATATCTGGACATTTGTCCTCTAAATACTTAATTTTTTAGTAGGTACCTTTTAAACACACTAAGTTTTTCTCCCACAATCATGAGACATAGCAAAATTAATAATTCCTTAATATCATACACTGCCCAATCTGTATTCAAACTTCCCTAGTAATTCCCCCAAACATCTTTTGCAGATGGATTGTTCAAGCCGGGATATAGTAAAGAACCACAAATTACCTTTGTTTGTTATATCTCTTTTTCCTTTAGATCAGCTTCCTCCACAACTGTCATTTCCCCCCCAAATTACTTCGGGGAAGTTAAATCAAAAGGGACATTAAGACAAGGGTTTCCAGGGGGATGTGAGGAAAACCTGGCCTGTTGACCAAGGAAGTTTGGAGGGCCCATAGGAGCTTTCACCACTCAGAAACTCTTGCCAAAAAAAGGAAAAGAATGTAGATGAGAGGTAAACTAGGTAACCAATGACCAATAGAAGAAGACAATAATCAATGACCCACAGAAAAGGGCAATAATGCCTGGAGGTGCAGAGAGGCCAATGAAAGACTTACCAATTTCTATTTTTTTTTTTTTTTTGAGACAGTCTCACTATGTCACCCTTGGTAGAGTGCTGTGGCATCACAGCTCACAGCAGCCTGGGCATAAGCGATTCTTTTGCCTCAGTCTCCCAAGTAGCTGGGACTTACAGGCGCCTGACACAATGCCTGGCTATTTTGTTGTTGCAGATTTGTTGGAGATGTCGTTGTGTAGCTAGGCCGGGGTTGAACCTGCCAGCCTCAGTGCATGTGGCCAGTGCTGTAAGCACCAAGCCTTACAACCAATTTCAAATGGAGAGAAAGGAGGTATTTACAACTCTGCAGGGCCTTGCCTTTTGGTCTCCATCTCTCTCACCTGTTCTCCATGAGAGGGACTCACCTCCAACTCTCTTTGGAAGTGCTCTAAGCTGTCTCTTTGTTTCTAAATAAAATTTCTCTTTGTTGCACTGAAACTTGTGCAGGTTACTTTGCTTTCTGTTCATGCTGCCTGTGCTGCTCCAGTTTTATTTTCTGTTTCCGTTCATTTTTGCTTTCAAGTATTGCTGTGCATTGGCCAGATGTGGTGGCTCATGTCTGTAATCCTAGCATTCTGGGAGGCCGAGGCGGGTGGATTACCTGAGCTCATGAGTTCGAGACCAGACTGAACAAAAATTGAGACCCCCATCTCTACTAAAAATAGAAAAACTGAGGCAAGGGGATCACTTGAGCGAAAGAGTTGGAGGTTGCTGTGAGCTACGATGCCCCAGCCCTCTACCCAGGGTGACAGATTGAGACTCTGTCTCAATTAAAAAAAAAAGTATTTCTGTGCATTGGTTGAACTTTCTAGCTAAGCCAAGTAATCAAACCAGGTTAGCTGGGTTTGGGGAATAAGGACCCCAGCCCTCCTACAGTTAATTTGCTGGATGCATGTGTATTAAGTTTTTTTTTTTTTTTGCTGCTGCTATAACAAATTACCAGAAATTCAGTGGCTTAAACATGATGCTAATTTATTATCTTACAATTTTGAAGGTCGGAAGTTGAAAATGGTTCTTATTGGGCTGAAATCAAGAAGTATACCTTTCTGATGGTTCTAGGAAGAATTGATTTTCTAGATTGGTTGGTGAGGATATGAAAAATGAGTTGTTTGCTATCTCTAAGAATGAGTCAGCCCTGCACAGGTCAGTCAGGCCCCAGATGCCAGGGCATCAAGAATACAGAAAATGAGAAAACACCATATAGGAGGCCATAGAGGTGCCCTCCAGGGGATCACAGTCTAGGAGAGGTAGAACAAGAGCACCAAGGCCCTTATGTTCATGTTCCTACAAGGACATGCAGCAGTCTGGGATGGGGACATCAGAAGAGCTTTTTTAGGTGAGGTGGGTCTTGAAGGATGAGCGGCAGTTTGTGGCCTGATGAAGGGTAAGAATTCTATAGGATCTGCCTTGAGGAAACAGCAGGCAAGAAGTTAAGGAGAGGAATTCCCAGGGTCAGTTGGTGAACCACATGGCTGAGCCTGAGGCAGCAGTGGGAAACGGGAGGATGTTGAAGAGTGAGCTCGGCTGACGCAGGAAGCTTGTTGTGACTAGTAGGCAGGAAGCCTGTGAGGGTAAGAGATAACATTAGAAAATTTTTAGGTACCTGCCACAGGATCCTAAATTTATGTTTGCAGCAGTGAATTCGTTATTGAGCCCCATTCTACACACCAGTGGTTCTCAGTCAGGGAGGGAGGGTGAGTTTGCCCCGTACGGGACGGTTGGCAATGTCTAGAAATGCACACATTTCTAGTTGTCATGACTGGGTGATGGGGAGGGGAGTTTATTGGTATCTAGTGGGTAGAGGCCAAGGACACTGCTCAATGACTTAAGAGGCCCAGGAGAGCCCCCACAGAGAAGAATGATTTGGCCCCAATGTCAATAATGCTGATGTGCTACACATATTTTACTGTTCCAATGTTGCAATATGGACATCAAATAGGATTTTCAAATAATTTAGGAAGAGTTCTTCCTAATTCACCCCCAATCTGCATCTTCCTCACACTTGCCCAGCTCAGCCAATGCCATTGTGAAAACCTCTCAGCTTAGAAACACTGAAGGTCTTCAGGATATTTCTTTTCCCTATATTTTCCTCTTCATCCTAAATTGTTCACCAGGAAGTCACATTTTCCTTTTGATACAGTTCAGTCACACAGAGAACAGCATAATCCTTCTCTCATAACTCACTCTTTTCACGTGGCCCCCTTTTGTTATGTCTAGAGTTAGCTGATTGCTTATCTAGTTTTTTTTAATTGGAGTAAGTACTCTGATGCCAATGCTTAGCATAAAATCCATGCCTCAGTTCTTTGGTTTTTCTCTTCCAAGGTGAGGAAACCAAAACTCTCAGTCTATGTTCATCGCTGACTTGATTTTCTTTTACGTTGTGTTAGAGCATCTACAGGGACTCTGCCACATACATATTTTCCAGCACCCTTAACTTTATAATAGGCCATTGTGTGGGTCATTATTCTCTGGGTCTTAGAATTTTCACTTGTTATTAGTTTGTCAAGATCTGGTCCCTGTTTTTATTTTCATTTTTGAGACAGAGCCTCAAGTTCTTGCCCTCTATAGAGTGCAGTGATATCACAGCTTGCAGCAACCTCCACCTCCTGGGCTCAAGCGATTCTCCTGCCTCTGCCTCCCAAGTAGCTGGGACTACAGACACCTGCCACAATGGCTATTTTTTGGTTGCAGCCATCATTGTTGTTTGGCGGGCCCGGGCTGGATTCCAACCTGCCAGCTCAGGTGTATGTGGCTGGTGCCTTAGCCGCTTGAGCCACAGGCACTGAGCCAGTCCCTCTTGTTGAATGTTGTTGTAGCTCACACATATGAAGTGAAAAAACTATGGCCTATAGGCTGGACCCTTCCCATTGCCAGTTTTTGTATATCCTGTGAGCTAAATATAGTTTCTAGATTTTTTAAATGGCTGAAAAACCTAAAAATTAGAATATTTCATAAATGTGAAAATTACATGAAATCCAAACATCACTGTAAATAAGTTTTTTTTTTTTTTGAGACAGAGTCTCATTATGTTGCCCTCAGTAGAGTGCTCTGACATCATAGCTCACAGCAACCTCAAATTCTTGGGCTTAAGTGATTCTCTTGCCTCAGCCTCCCAAGTAGCTGGGAGCACCAGCCACAATGTCTGGCTATTTTTTTGTTGTTGTTGCAGATGTCACTGTTTAGCAGGCCCAGGCAGAGTTCAAACCCACCTGCCTTGGTGTATGTGGCCAGCACCCTAACCACTGAGCTATGGGTGTAAGCCTATACAGTTATTTTTATTTTTTTGGGAGGGGGGCAGGTGCTAGTCTGTTCCCCAGGCTGGGGTATAGTGGGGTGTCTTCACTGCACACTGCAGCCTCAATCTCCTGGGTTAAAGCAATCCTCCCTTCTCTGCCTCCCTGAATAGAGTGATGGCTAATTTTTTCTTATACTTGCAGAGATGGGAGTCTTGCTCAGGCAGGTCTTGAAATCTTGGTCTCAGGTGATCTTTCTGTGTAGTCCCGCTGGAGTGCTGGAGATGTAGGCATGAGACACTGCTCCTGGCCTGATTGGAAGTCACCTTCAACCCTGACTAAGACCCATCAATGTCAACACACCACACTCCAAGTCACTAATTCCTGTTGTGGTGGATTCCAGAGATGTTCACAAAAACCAAAATCTTACCTTGAACTCTACTACAGGAAACTCCCGCCACGCAAGAACCAGGCTCCAAGATTCCACCAGCGCTTCCACTTCAGTTTCCGGTTCTGTTAGCTGCCTGGGCTGCCCTGTGCTCCAGCTGTTGTGCAGACTTAGTAGAAACCGGAAGGAAAAGGAATCCCTGATTCTGGCCTGCCGCGGTTAAGCTTCCAACTCCTCTGACAGCTCATTTTAGTAACTTTGGGGGAAGTGTCCTGTTTGAAGGAGGCAAATATGTACAGAAGATTGGCCATTCTTTTGGCTTGTGTGCCCTGACGTTTTAGAGAGGAAGAAATGCAACCAATGTTTTCCTATCCTTTTCCGAGCACAGCACCAGCACTTATACATACCCTAGCTTACGTAGCCTTTTTGCCTGTCTGAAGTCTTGTTCATTTGGAGGCATTTTGAGGTCTGTAGAGCAAAGAACACTTTCCCTGGGGGTGGGTGTGGGGTGGGGGAGGATGAGGGGACCAGGGCGGTGCAGAATCTGAGAATGGCTCTGGCAAAGGGGCCATCTAGAGAAGTGAAATTGGCTCCAGGAAAGTGCTCGGGGCCTGTCTCTGTGTATGGATTTTTTTTTTTTTTTGGAGACAGAGTCTCACTATGTCATCCTTGGTAGAGTGCCGTGGCGTCACAGCTTACAGCAACCTCAAACTCCTGGGCTTAAGTGATTCTCTTGCCTCAGCTTCCCAAGTAGCTGGGACCACAGACGCCTGCCACAATGCCCGGCTATAGTTTTTGTTGTTGTTGTTGCAGTTGTCATTGTTGTTCAGCTGGCTCTGGGGTCTGAACCCTACAGCCTGGGTGTATGTGGCCGGTGCCCTTCCCACTGAGCTGTGGGCGCCGCCTCTGTGTATGGATCTTGACCATAAAAGTTGACACAGTGTTTACTGGGAATGGTTAAATAGGGCTTCTGGAATGCTCATTGCTTGATCCGAGTGGTATTACATCGTTCACACGTGTGTGTTCCCATTGTATGTTAAACTGTTGTGTATGGTGTTATTTAATATGCTCTTCTGTTGTGGTATATTATATTTACAACATGAATGTTTTAACAATTACACACACCTACTCCATCTTTACAGAGCTGAGCAGAATGACTCTATCCAAAAGACAGTTTTATTACTGTCTACCCTTAGCTCCCTTTTTCTAGCTCAAAACCATCTGGGTCTCAGTGGTCAGCTCAGCAGTTACAGACACTTCATGAAACCCAATGGCTCAAATTTCCCAGTAGAGACAACTGCATTTGGATAGCCTCAAGTTAACAGTGATCCAGGAGCTCATGTGAAATTGCACTATCCTAAGATTTACCATTTTGCTTGTTTTACTACTGGAATTTGGGTGGGCAGCGCTGTATTACTCTTTCACACAGGCATTTGAGGATTTCAGTCCTCAGTTGGACCTATCTAGAGGACAGTGGTTGTCCACCTTTAAGAACTGGTGAGCACATGTGAGCTTCTGCAGTAGGGCCTGCTTTTGGACTTGACTATGTGCTCTTTAGACATAATGAAGGCTCTGTTACTGGATTAGGGGCGCAGGCCAAGTTAAAATTCCACATACCTGACTGTTTTTACTGAGGTTCACAATTTGAGGGGGGGAAATAAATGATGTTCAGAATATTGTAAGTTCTTGGTGAAATTCTGGAGATCTAACAAAAATTGACATTCACAATATTGCTTTCATGGAAGAATGAATTTACAGAAACCCTTATTCTTCTGGATGTCCCACTTTGAAACCTCTTTTATTTTTGTATAGTAATCTCAGGGGAGAAAATTTATTAATCTTATAGGTAAATACATCGAGTCTTAAAACAGTTAAGTGGCTTCCCATGGTTACAGTTGTAGTTCTTTGTTACTGTTTATCAATAAAACAGGCAATATTGCATCCATTGTGTTCTAATGACCTATTAAAAATTGTAAGATATCCCCAAATTATTTCTACTCAACCTCACTTAATGTTCCATGAAATATTTCATAGGATAAAAGCAACCAGAAAGCATTGAGAAGGTGCTAACACACAGTTTTGTGTTAGCCTTTTCATGGCTAAGTCAACGTCATCCACGTCTTTTTGGCATCTGTGTCTTAGGTGCACGTCCTTGCTTGAATAAATGAATAACCAGATCATTGAAGAAAAGAAATGCTACTGTGACAAAGGGACCACTAGTAATTTGGAACTTTTTTTTTCCACATGAAAGAGCAGAAACTTAGAGTTTGAGGATCTCGAAGGATCAGTATTAGGGGGCTCACGGTGGGATAACACACTGCCAGAAAGGTGGTCATATGATGCAGCCAGATGTGAGATTTGGAAAAAACAGAATGATAAATGATAAAGATAGAATTGATGAAGTAAAAGAAAATGAAGGCGGTTGCCAGAAGCAGGATGGTCTGAGTGGCTTTTGCCTCAGGGGAGAATCTGTGGGAGGTGCTGAGGGTGTGAATATGCCTCACTCTCTGGTGGTGTCTGTGCAGGAGAAGGACCATGTAGACACTGGCCCCAAGCATGAGTCCCATGAACACAACATCTGAGGAAGTCATTAGAATTACATAAATCACAGCATCAGACATTGTATGCTTTTTAGAAGTAGAGCAGAGTCCAAAGTTTGGAATCCTAGTAGCATTGTGGCTATGCTGAAGGGCCCCTACACGTACAGGAACAAAGAGGTTTATCAGCAGGTTGGAGATCCAGCAGAGAAAGCAGGAGAAGCCGACTTTCTTCAAGGCTGCATCTTTGAGCTTCATCCACCCCCCGGTTCTAGGGCTGATGGTGATGGCCTGAAAACTGCTCAAGTGGCCAGTAATGCAGAGAGAAAGGCCCCGGGCCGTTCTGTGGAAATAAGTGACAAGTTTACACCCCATATTTCCCAGGGTGTGTGTCACTCCCCAGATAAGTATCATCTGAGGGATCCCCTTGAAGAGAAGAAAGAAGACATTGGCCACAGCCAGGTTGGTGAGGATCAGGTGTGTGGGCCTGGGTGCCTGGCCGGTGCAGGCTGTGGAGGTGTAGGTTAAGAGAAGAAAGGTGTTCCCCAGGACCCCAATCCCAGTCTGGAGCACAAACAGTAGCCTCAGGATCAAATCACCAGGAGTCATTGTCATGGGATCATGGAAGACGTTGTTCAGAAAAGAGCCTAACAGTTGGCTGGTGCCTATAGCTCAAAGGAGTAGGGCACTGGCCCCATATACCAGAGGAGGCGGGTTCAAACCCAGCCCCAGCCAAAAACTGCCCCCCCCCAAAAAAGCCTGATGGTCACAGAGTTAGAACTCAGAGTAACAGCACCAGTCTCAGTGTTCTCAGTCTTCAGTTCTAACAGGGCTCCTGGGCCCTCACTAACTCCTTTTTGTGAAGACAGCAGTTACATTTACAGGGCAAGGACTCCACACCAGTGAGCGCAGAACTGCCACCCCGAGTGGCCAGCCTGGCCTGTTTCTTTTTACACTCACACGGCCATGCAGGAGGGGGCAGTGTTTAGTCTGTTTCTTGAATCCTCAGTTGCACGTGCAGGGCACCATCCACAGGCAAAGTTTTATCTGTCATGTCAAAGTGTGTCTGAAACAACCCCTGTGTGCAGAGAAGATTTGCTTTCAGTCCTTGTATATAGAAAGATAAACTGACCTGCGTTACTGTTCCTAAGGGCTTGGAGCCTCGAGTGGGAGACATAATATAAAATACAATAACGGTACAATGAAAATCATGACACAGATGAAGGATACACAGGGTGGTGTGGAAACAGATATCAGGGGTTGTAGCATCAGTGGCTCTATGCTAAAATACAGAAATTTTATTATTTTTAAACTTAGTGAGTTTTCTCCAAAATTATTTAATGTATATGTGTGTTACAAGTAATTAAATAATGCAAAGACATATGGAGAAAGGAATTGATCTACACCCCACTTCTTATTTATAATCCTACTCTTCTGATGTAACCATACGTCTGAAGTGTAGATTCTTTCTCAGTTTTCTTCATGTGCTTACAAAATGTGTTTGTTTCAGAAATCACTAGCTAATATAGGACTATATTTGCT